TTTTTGAGAATATTTTGTTTTTGGTGTATTTTGTTTTGTTTTGTTTTTTATTAGTATTAGTTTATTTACACAATCTCCTTTTCTATAAACTGACTTGAATTTAGCTTAGAAAAATCTATAAGAAGGAAATATCTTCGAAACACATAAAAAATAGCATATTGTTATTTCTGTTTTTCTCTAGAAGTAAAGGGATCTACTATGTTTTTGTACAATCAACTTCATAAATAAGTGTACATTTACAAAACTATAGCAACTTGTATACGCCTTCGATTTCAAAAATATTTATAAGTATGCAGTAGTAATATTAGTATACAAGTTTCTGAGGATTCGAAAATGTATGCATATTTATGCATCTGATTGTACAAAAATATTAGATCCTTCTCATTCTATTAAAGAAAAACAAAGATAACAATACATTTTTTATTTACTGTACATCTGTTCGGCAATACAAACATCAAGATAGTTAATCCACTGGCCGAGGGCGACAAGGAACCGGCACTGACGGTGCTCCTTCCATTATTAGGTCAAAGTCTGGCATTTCACGTCTTCGCTCTGTTAAACGTGGAGCAATTAAATCATCGTACATATCAATAAACAATTGATTAGCGGCGTCATATCGTTTGCAAACAAATTCAGGTGTCGTCACACAAACTGCGTTTTCACCATTGTAAGCATAATAATTGTAGTTGCAACGGACATTTCTCAATTCGTGTAATAAATCTCTCAAGCAGGCGCATTGCCATGGATTTTCATGAAAATCAATGTCCTTTAAACTTTTTACATTTGACAACATTGTGGTTAATTGATTTGGATTCAAATATGTTATTCGATTATTAGCAATATTCAGTTTCTTTAGTGTACTATTATCGAATGTTCTTGGATGAATATCTCGGAGTAAATTAAATGAAAGATCAAGTTCTTCTATACTATGTATGTTCTGAAACACTCCTAAGGCAAGGTAATTCAATCTGTTGTGGCTCAAATCGATGTGTTCGATTATCGGAAGGTTCACGAATGCGTCTCTATGGATATATTCTATATGGTTTTTCGACAAATCGAGTGATTTTAAAAGGACCAATTTATGTAATGTACCATTTCCAATCGCAGTTATTTCATTCAACGATAATTCTAACACCAATAGCTTGCTTAAATTTGCAGTCGATAAAAACTCTGGCATTTCTTTCAGTGAACATTGGTTCATGTGTAAATATTGTAAGCTTTTCACGTTTCCCATGAATGTGACTTCGTTCATGTCGTTTCCGGATAAATCTAATATCGCCATGTCACATAATATGTCGCTATTTAAATTTTTACCCACTAGAGAATTGCAAGTCAAATATAAACTAACCATTTCCCTCGGAGAAAAACTTATTAATCCTGTATCGAAACTTTTAAAATTATTTCCTTGTAAATGTAGATTTCTGAGTAGAGTTTTATTAAATATACCAGGGGGTAGGTCTGTTAATAGATTCTGCGACAAATCTAAATCCTCCAGTCGTGTATTCATATCGAATACTCCTAATGGTAATGTTTTCAATTTATTTTCTGATAAATTTAGATCCCAAACCAATCTTGCATTAAATAGTCCGTCAATATCTATTTGTGTTATTTGACAACGTCTGATAGTTGCTGTTGTATAGTCGCCTTCTTTGAATAGATCATCCCTTCTCAATACATTGTGACTTAATGATGAGTAACATGTTATTCGTCTGATTTTAAATGATTTTAAACTATCATCGTAGAGACATACTACTTTGGAATCAATCATTTTTATCACAACACACAAGACAATGAACGTTAACACACGGTTGTCCATTTTCATATTTTCTGAAATGTAAAAAATCTATATTGATTTATCAATTTCTTGAATTGGTCTACTTTTAACATGCATTTAAACAGGTTACAGAAGATTTCTGGATATTTGTTATCGATAATAGCTAAATTTTAAATTTAACTTTTAGGCGAAAAATTTGACAGTTTAACACGCTCACTGCGTAACAGGCCGATATCGACCTGACGCGCTACCTAAGCTGGTGCGGATGAAGAAAACCGTGTTCCTCTCGCTACTGCGAAACGATAATTTCTGGTGAATACCTTACATTAAATAAACTGTATACATTCTGGTTCAACAAAGTCATAGCAATTTAATCTATCCTAGTGTTGGTAGGTTTAGAAAGACCTGTCACGCACTGGCGGAAATATTACTGGGGGCGCTTTTTGGCCCGCCACCGCACATGAAGAATTATGATTTTACTTGCAGCAGTAAACGTGTTAAGAGTTTTGATAGAACTAAGAAGCTTAACTAGAATCGTAGAATTAAAAATAATGGAAACATATTGCTTGACATAATCGAGATTGTTATCCATAGATTGGCATTTGTGATTTGATTGTTGATGATTTTGCTATAGATTTAAAATGTAAATTGACATACCACAATTTAATAACTTACTCGAGTTGAATCTTCTTTTTAATTAATTTAAATTCAGCTTAAAACCATCAGATTATTTAATCACAAATGGCACAAACAGTCTTGTCCAACGAACTTGTGAGATCGTACTGACTCTACAACTAATTCCAATACGTTTCAAGAATAACCCGAGTTGATAACAGCTATAATAAATATAAACATTTTGTCAGATTGTGCTTCGGGTAAATCCGAGTTATTATATAATTAAAAATGTTGAATTTTATATAACTTGACGCAGACCGGTTTTAGATTTACCTGTCGATCGCCTGAGAAGCCTGTATTTGTCTGACGTCCTAGGCGGATTCTCTCTAACGCCGGTTGGTATCGACAGTGTTAAATCAGTATTTGAAATAAATGCATGTATATATATGCAAATGAATAGGCGAGAGAGGTGCTAGGACCTCACCAAATGGTGTACGTAAAATCTGCTTACTTCTCTGGCTTCCAGACATAATTTACATTCTTTACTTTACAATTATTAGGAAAAGAGACGACATGTTTTACAGACCAACATTTGTACATTACATGCATGTAGTATTATAACCATCCTTTGGAGAATTTAAACCAATTTAGACAATTGAGATGTACGCGGGACAGCACACCCGTATACGATTTTGGTAAGAGGATTATTTCCTGTTTTAAATTGTACCAATTTTTGTATTTTTTTTTTTTTTGTATTTTTTTTTTTTTTTTTTTTTTTTTTTTTTTTTTTTTTTTTTTTTAGTGGGCGGCGTTATGCCGCCCTCTCGTTCCCCCTAACATATTTATGGGAAAGGGACGTTGGGTGCGGGTGGGAACTCTTTATTCATAAATTTTTTGTCTTTTAACATCTTACAGTTTTCTTATTGCTAATTTACAGTTTTTCTATTTTAATATCACAGTTTTGCTTTATAAAATTATTACATTACTAAATTGACTAAAAATGACTAGAATTTAAAATGACAACTACATAAAATGACTAGACTTGCTAAAATTAAAAATAACAATAATAAAATAAAATTACAATTAAGTGATAATAATAAAATTAAAAATACAAGTTAAATTACAAAATAAAATT